GTACCCTGGGAGCACCCCAGCTGTCGTCACTATGGGCACCCGGGACACCAGGTGACTGGCTCAGGTCATGATCTCACAGCTTGTGGGTTCGAGCCCAGCGTCCGGCTCTGTGCTGACAGCTAGGAGCCTGGAGCCTGCTTCCGATTCTGTGTCTCCCTCTCTCTGCCCCTCCCCTGCTCGTGCTGTCTTTCTCCTTCAAAAATAAATAAACATTAAAAAAAAATTTTTTTTAGGGGTGCCTGGGTGGCTCAGTCGGTTAAGCGTCCAACTTCGGCTCAGGTCAGATCTCATAGTTTGTGGGTTCAAACCCCACATCAGTCTCTGTGCTGACAGCTCAGAGCCTGGAGCCTGTTTCAGATTCTGTGTCTTCCTCTCTCTCTGCCCCTCCCCTACTCATGCTCTGTCTCTCTCTCTGTCTCAAAAATAAATAAACTATTAAAAAAACTTTTTTTTTTTTTTAAAGAAAAGATTCCTTTTCCGAATGATCCATGAATACAGCACTGCCTATGTGTTGGACTGGGTTCCCCCTGTCCTGTGTCGCCACGCCCCATCACAGCAGGCCAGGACACCACAGCCCTGGTACCCCGCCCTCCACATTCTCCAGCCACACCTCTGGTCTCCCTGGGGCCCTTCGGGGCAGCAGCACCCACATCTGAACCAGAGAGGTTCAGAGGTGGGGTCCCCAGAAGGTGCTTCCTTCGGCTTCGACCCAGGAATAATTTGGTTCTCCAGTTTCTAAAAAGAAACTGAGACTAAAAAGGGTCCTGGGACCAAGCTGGTGTCAAGGCCCCAGGAGCCACCCTAGTGGATTCCACCGCGTCTCTCTGCACAGGCCACCTTTCTGGTCCCGCTCAGGGAAATCAGGGGCGTGCCCTCCACCCCTGAGGTCGGGGCTCGTGGCCACAGAGAGGCCTTCAGAGGCAGGCTGGGCAGCAGTGGGGCCTGGGCCTGGCTCTGGCCCAGCAGCCCGGCTCCATACACCGCATATGCCTCTTTAATGATTAGCCTGGAAAGTGCCAGCAGCTGCTGGACTCGGTGCAGACGCCCCAGAATAAAATATTCATCAAGAAAAACTCTAAACAGCAACGCTGCCTTCCGTGTCAGCCGGGCCCTGGGGATGGAAGCTAAAAATAGACAGGAGGTTGAAGAATTGCTGACAATGGGGGGTGTGCGGAGAGGGGAGGAGGGCTGAGCGCCCCCGACGAGCACAGGCACGTAGGCTGCGGGAAGCACACCGCTCTGGGAGACAGACGGCGCTGTGTCGGCGGCCCTCAGGTGAGCACCATGGGGGACAGGCCAGAGCCCCCTCCCTACCCTGGGGTGGGCCCAGGACGCCTCAGTGAAGAATCAAAGACCATCTTTAATTCTCAAGAGAGAACAGCCTGGATCAATGTGAGGCCAGCCGGCAGGAAGACGTGGCCATCGCTAACTGCTGGCCCCTTGGACTTCTGGGATTCAGTCACTGTCGTCTGTCCTCTGGGCAGGTGTCTTTCCCCACTAGCCCTCTGCAGCCCTGCCGGACATCAGCACCTCCTCTGGCCTGGCCCCCCCACTATGACTGACATTGCAGTTCCTGTCATAGGTTTCTAGAAAGGGCCCGGGCAGCTTTCCACACACACAGGCTGGCCCACACCCAGGACTGCTTCCTGTCTCCAGGAAGGGGCTGGGTACCCACACGGAAGGCTCCTTGACCGCAGGCCACTCTCCCTGGGAGACTGGACCCCTGGGGAACTGAGGTCCCCTTGCGGCCGCAGCACCGGTGTCCTGGGTGGGCTGAGTTCTGGGGTGCGTGTCGGCTGGGGGCAGCAGGGGCAGCCGTGGCGCCTCCAATCAAGGCCACGGCGGCTGCTGGGCTCCGGAGCGGGTGAGCCTTAGGACACGGCTCCAGCTCGCGCTTTGGACCTTGCCAGAGAAGCCCGTCAATGTGCATCTGCTCAGAATAAGCCTTTGCAGCATGAACACGGGCCAACTCCTTGGCTGTCCTTATTCTCATCCCATTTGGGGGGCTCCGCGGGCCCCCGGCCACCGCCTCCCCCCAGCTTGCACTAGAGGAAAGGGCCCCAGTGGTCCTGAGGCTGAGGCTGGGCCTGGCCGGAATCAGCTGGGTGGCCACAGATGTGTTCCTGTCTCTTCTCTCCCGTTACAGGGGGCTGGCCCTCTGAGTCCCTGGTTCCTTTTACCCAGAGAGTCTCTGAGAAGTGGCTCCCCTTCCCCCAACTCCAGGCCTGCTCCACAAGGCCCACCTTGGAGGGGACCTGCCTAGGGAGCAACATGCGGGCCCCTCCCCCACCTCCTGCTCCTTCCCTCATGACCCTCGCCACCATCTAACACCGTCCGGAGTCCCCGCCTGTTCACTCCTTCCCTCCGGGGGCGCTCCAGAAAGTTCCAGGAAAGGACGGTGAACAGCAGCTGACAGGCACGGAGCTCCTAGTATAAACCAGCGCACAGAACCCTCACAACCTCTGTGGCCATCCCCGTCGCACAGGTAAGGAAACGGAGGCACCAGGAAGTAGGAGCCTGAGATCACACAATTGGTACCCCTGGGGTCCTGACCAGAACCAGGCAGCAGGAGGCCGCTGGGCAGTGGTTGTGGGGGGGGCGGTCAGGCTTTATCTAGGGTGCGGAGGAAAGGCTGTCTAAGCAGGAACTGTCCGAGAAACCAAGGGAGGAGCTGGCTCCGCACCAGTCTGAGGGAAGGCATCCAGGCAGAGGGGGAGCAGGTACAAAGGGCCGGGGGCAGGAACGAATCTGGGGGCTGCGGACAGAGCGCCACTGGACCCTGTGCCGAGGGCGCCGAGGAGCTGCAGCAGACGAGGCAGGAAGGGGAGAAAATCTGATTTTGTTTTAACAAACTCACTTGGCTCCAGTGTGGGGTCAGAGTGAGGGCAGTGAGAGCGGAGGGGGGCTGAGCTCGGGGCTGGGCGGGGATCCAGCCAGGGACGGGGCCCAGAGGCAGTGCGTGTGGGGAGCTGGGCGGGTCGGAGGGGCCGGGCGGGGCCCCAGGCTCACGGAGAGAGGGAACGCATGAGGACGAGTGGGACTTTGGGGGGAAAGACAATGAGTCCAGTTCAGGATAAACCACGTTTGAGACGTGCGCGGAAACCCCCGAGGGACGTGGACCTGGCAGAGTCGGCTGGGGAGCCACGGTGCCCACAGCGATGCCTGCAGCTCGGGGCTGGACGCAGCCGCCCACAGAGGATGGAGGGGCACGGGGACCCGTCAGGGGCTGGTGTCTAGCGGTCATGGGTGGACGGTGTGGACACGGCAGACCCAGGTCAAGGGGGCAGCGGCTTCACCGAGGCCTGGTGCACGTGCCAGGCCAGGGAGAGACGACACAGACGGTTCCTGGATCCGGTTGCCCTGTGGAGCCCGGAGGCCAGGGAGAAGAGGGGTCAAGGGTTCGCCGAGTGCGTTGGAATTCGGCGTTTAGGATGAGGAACTGTGGCAACGTGGAAGACGGGGCGCGGGGCCGGGCGAACGGCGGGGAAAGCCTGGGGGGGGGAGGGCGGCCAAGAGGACCAGGCAGGGCTCTGAGGACAAGTGGCCCAAGACCCGGAGTTACGGGGCTGCCAACGTCAAGGCCACATGCAATCAGGGGTGGGGATCACGTGCTTGCGGAGGGGCAGGGTGGGGGGTGCTGACAAGACTGGCTGGAAATGGGGGGCTGGGGCCCGTCTGCCTTAGGGAGCCTCCAGCCCCAGCTCTTGCCTTCCCTCCTTTCTGCCTGGTTAAACCCCCTGAGCCCTCAAGGCCAGGTTCACATCCCTCCCCTTCGCAGCCCCGTCTGCTCTGTCATTCGGAGACCTCTCTTGATGTCACCTGACTCACTAGTCTCAAGGGCAAAGGGCGAATGGAGACAGGCTGCGAAGCAGGGCCCTGCACGCTGCCACAGCAGCCTTGGGGGGGCCTCAGGCCGGCCACCAGCCAGGTGGTCATCCTCCACACGTGGAGAAGCCTGCAGGAGCCTGGTTCCCAGCCTGCGCGAGGAAGGGAGGCCGTAACTGCAGCGTGTCCACCGCAGAGGCACCGAGGGTGGGGATGGTGGGGGCCCTAAGGGTGCTCGGAGCTCCCACCCCACCCCCTTCCCCCACGGAGGGCAGGGCGCTCCGACCAAGGTCCAGGGAGAAATCAGGTGCAGCCTGAGCAGAGGCTCCCCACCCTCAGAGTGACGGAAAGTCGTGTGCTGGACCCCAAGCCAGGTTCCACAGGACGGAACGTATGACTCTCCACAGGCACCCCAGCCTCAGCTGGTGACGGGGCGCAGAGGGCTCGCTAGCAGGGGCCCGACACACTCCGGGCAGGGCACTCGCTGTGACCGGCAGCGCAAAGGAGTTCGTGAGGCTCACTGTAAAACCACCACCATCCTCGAAGGAAATCTGGAAGTATCACCTGTTCATTCATTCACTACGCGACAACCAAGTACCTCCCAGCCAAGCACCCACACCTTCCCCACTCCCCACCCTGAACCCCGGCTGCTTCTGGCTCCCTGATTCACACGCGCCCCCTGTGGTCAGCACTGGTCAAGGTCCTGGGATTCTAGCTCTGGACCCTTGGACGCTGTGGTGGCAGCAGCCCATGTGTGGGGTGCCCGGGGCAGAGCCTGGCCGGGCAGCAGGGGGAGGGAAAGGTCGTGAGGCCCCGACGCCCAGCCCTGAGGTGTAGGGCACTGGCCTGGTCCCCATCCAGCAGGACACACAGGCCACGGCTCCTTGAGAACCTGTCCCTGGGGAGGGTCCTCAGCCCCATTTTTGCTTGTGTGCACAGCATGGGAGCCCTGGGGTGCTCACCCCCGAGAGAGGACACCCAGGGCAAGGAGCGGGTGAGGCGGTCTCTCTTGTCCAGTCTGCATGGACTGGGGTGGGGGGGGCGGCGGCGGAGTAAGGCCCTCACATTGGAGGGTGGAGTGGCCAGGAAGCAGCCAGGCCAGGGCCCTGCTCCCTAGAAAGGGCTCACATGACGCAGTGTCTCCTGGGAGCCCCGCAGGGCGGGCGGTCACTCACCACGAGCTGGGGCACCGGCAGCGACTTGCCCTCCTGACTCAGGGACACGTAGGTGAAGAAGGCGCTGGCAGCCCGGTAGCGCTTCTGCGAGTTGTCCACCACGGGGTCGGCATCCACCAACACCTCGATTTCCATGGACTTGTTGCTCGTGAAGGTCATGCGCCCAGAGATGGTGATGACGCACCCTGCAGAGCGCACAGTGCGTTAGCAGGGGGCACAGGCGGGGCAGCCACGCTGGGCGGGGAGGGCTCAGGCATCGGGGGCTACTGGGGGCGTTAGGAGACACCTGGTTAGGTGACTTCGCTCTAATACTACTAGGACGTAGAGATGACGAGACAACACAGCGCCTCAATAGTAGCAGCCCTGGGATAGTCCCCCTTCTCGGGAGCAGGGGTTTCCTTTTCGCATCTACGTGAGCCTTCAGAGCTGCAGGGTCGCTGGCCCCCTGCCCAAGTGTGGGTCTGGGCCCCTGGGAGGGGCAGCGTCTGCTGGGAGAGTGCCAGAGACACGCCTGCCCGAGGTCCACGCCCCCAACCTGTGTTCAGGTGGCTGCGGGGTGAGCTGGCTCCGTCCTGCAGCGGAACGTTAAGGCTGAGTCAACCCACTGTCTAACCGTGGCCTTACTGGTGCCACATAGCTGTCCCACCTCGTTGCTCTAAGTGCCACTAAAGAGCCTCCTTCTGCCTTCCCTGGCCCGTGCCGTGCTCCCCAGCTGGTGTTCCCGATGCTGGTCTGACGGCACCCTTGAACGCTTGGTAGGGCCAGCTGTCATGGTGACCACGGCCCTACCTCCCCTAGAGCCACTGTGTGCACTTCAGGCCCCGCCCTTCTACCCTTCCGTCCCGGCAAGGCTATATCTGTCCCGAAAGGCTCCCCATCTCTCCGTCAGGCTCACCCCCGGGACCAGAGCTGTCCCCTGAGCCGCAGACACTGCCTTCCCAGCACATGCCCGTGGCCTTGTCTGTCCCTAGTCTGTCTGTCTGTCTGTCTGTCCCCAGGTGCTCACCCCCCATCTGTACCAGCACGGTTTTCCCTGATGGTTATGATCAAGTCATATGTTCCCATAACACTATCCCAGGTGTCCTTCTCTCTCGACCTCAACCCAACCTCCCTGAACTCCCCATGCCCCTTGGGTCACGAAAACACCGTGGGAGCTGCGTCCTAACCTACAGTGGCTCTTCTGCTCATGCGCCCTCGCCAACCAACCTGCCTTGGTCCTTTCTTGCCTTGTTCCCTTCGTCTCCTAGAACCCAGTCTTTTTCCTACAAACAGACTGGACTGGCCTCACCGGAGAACTCCGAGGAAGCAGGAGATGGGCCATGGGCTGACCTGGTGTCCGGTCGTTATCATCACCAGTGGTGCTGCCCTGGACCACAAGGCGGCACTGACCCTCGGGGACATCCAGGTGGAGGGCATATGCATGGCTTCACCTCCACCAACGTGTAGCCACAACGGCCCCCCGACCCCCACGCCCCAGCACGGCCTCACTCCGGGCTGGGTTCAAACAAATCCCTGCCCGAGGCTGGCGTGTAATGCTGAGCCCCGCTCCCTGCGACCAGCGCTGGCTGTGGGGGTCTTTTAACAGCCCCGGGAGCCGCGGCGTCCTACCTCCAAGGAGACGGGCCCCCCAGGGCATGTTTAAAGACCCAGGAAGACGGACAAGTCAGGACAGCGTGGTGACGGTTAGGGGTGAGTGTGTGGGCAGACCAGAAGCAGGAGCAGTTATTCCATGTTATAAAGAACCAGAATGTTCCATGCCACATTCAGTTTCATACTTACAGGGAGTGCTTCATGTCGTGTACAGCCACTTCCGGGAGGGAAGGCAGGCCACACGGTCAGGGACAAGTGGCACTAGGTGAGCTCTAAGGGTAGAGTTGTGAACAGAGCACCTGGCACATGCCTGTGCTGGGCTGAGACCAGGGTCAAGGGTCAGTGGGCAAGTCCTTCTGCCCTAGAAGGAGCTGCCTCCATGACCAACAGGGACAGGCCACCCACAAGCCCTCCTGACCCTGCCTGCCTTACGGAAGCCTCAGCGCCCGGCGCACACGCAGGACAAGTCAGGGGAGGTCCGAGTGCCTCTCCTGCGGTCCCTTCTATCATACGTCCCCTCCACCCTCTGCGGATACGTGACTGCCCTGTGCTCTCCAGAGGGGAACAGAACAGACTGATTTTGCTTAAGATTTCAGGGGGTCAGGAGATCTCTGAAGTGTCCTGCTGTCCCCAAGGTAAAGGCCATAGGTTTTTGTTGTTGTTGTTGTTGTTGTTTGCTTAAGATTTCAGGGGGTCAGGAGATCTCTGAAGTGTCCTGCTGTCCCCAAGGTAAAGGCCATAGATTTTTGTTGTTGTTGTTTTAAAGTTCATTTATCTCTTTTGAGAGAGAGAACATGTGCACACATGTGAGCAGGGGGAGGGGCAGAGGGAGAGGCAGAGAGAGGATCCCAACCAGGCTCTGAGTGGTCAGCATAGAGCCCGACTCGGAGGCTGGAACTCACGGACTGTGAGATCACCACTGGAGCCAAAATCCAGAGTCCTATGCTTAACTGACCAAGCTACCAGGCGCCCCAGAAGGCCATGTTGTGAGTGACCCATGGGTGCACATGTTCAGAGGCAGGGTCACACCTGTATCTGAGAGCATCCAGCATGAAGGAGGCCCCCCAGACACGTCTGCAGGTCTGCCACACCCGGCTGGGGGCTGTGTGACATCTGAGAGGACACACAGCCTCTGGGCTTGCCCCACCCACCTCCAGTGACCGCCACTCCTATCTCACGTGGGGGCAGGTGCTCACAGCCCAGAGGGTGGTGAGGACAGCGGCCATCGTGTGCAGGGTGCTGGGGGACAGAACTTGCTCTGAGGCTCAGCCTGGGCCGGCTCCCCCTCCCTTCCGACTCCTCGAGGCTCCTGCAGTGGTTTTCACTGGATCCCAGCCCACATCGGGTGCCTGGACATGAAGCCAGAGGCACATTGCCTGAGCGGAGGTCAGGGTGCCCAGGGAGCTCATGGAGACGGGGTGGCGAGGCTCCTTCCCACGAGGTCCGGCTCATTCTGTCTCTCCCATGGTATAGGGGTGGGACCACAGGAAAGGCACAGCGGCCCTACCCCAGCCCCTGCCTGGGACACTGGCAGATCACCTGACACAGGGAAGGACCCCGGTCTGAGTCCAGCCTGTGCTCCCGTCCACTTCAGTTCCCCACGAGCTGCTGCAGAGAGAGGGAGCCTGCCGGGCGCAGTAGCCACATGCTCGAAGGCTCTCCATGGGGGGCAGCAGCCGCCAAGTGTCCGAAGTACTGAGATGTTGCCTGGGGACTTTCCCACAAGGTCACACGTCCAAATCCACCCAGAGAGCAGCTTGTTTATTTAGAAGACCAGGCGTGGGGCACCTGGGTGGCTCAGTCGGTTAAGTGTCTGGCTCTTGGTCTTGGCTCAGGTCATGATCTCATGGTTCTTGAGTTCGAGACCCGCATCAGGCTCTGTGCTGGCTGCAGTGTTCCGGGAAGGGGGGTCCGCTGGGCAGGCAGCAAGCCGGGAGCCGCCCGGTGCCAGCAGGCACAGGAGCAACGTCTCTCGGGAAGGCTGTGAGCAAACACTGAGCTGCAAATGCGGCCCCGTGGAGGTCACCTCTCACGTTAAATAGTCATGGGGACGGAAGCCCAGGACAGAAATTGCTGCTAAGGTCTGAGTGTCCTTCCGTAACAGTCCTCCAGGAAAAGCCACCTCCAACCAGCCGCAGAGTGTGTCCAGCTGTTAGTGTCTTGGGTGATTTGTACCCACGCGGAAGTAAGAAGTCATGGTTAAAACAAGTCGTGCTTTTCCTTTCCTGTAGCAGGCACGTTTATGCTGGCCAAGAAGCCACTTCTGGAGCGCCTGGGGGGCTCAGTCGATAAAGTCTCCAACTTTGGCTCAGGTCATGATCTCACAGTCGGTGGGTTCAAGCCCCACGTCGGGCTCTGTGCTGACAGCTCGGAGCCTGGAGCCCACTTCAGATTCTGTGTCTCCCTCTCTCTCTGCCCCTTCCCCACTCACGCTCTCTCTTGCTCAAAAATAAATAAACATTAAAAAAAAAAAAAAAAAGGAAGAAGCCGCTTCTAACACTGTCTAAATGAATGAAACAGGCTACTGCGTCAGCAAGGGAGATTTTACGTTTTCGGCCTGTGGAGAACACAGAGTAACAAAGCCTTAAAAAACCCTGCCTTTTCCGTCTGGAAAGGGCATCAGCAGCCATGCCAGACCGACTCCAGGACGTGCCGGCAGCAATGGGGACCTTGCGGGGGAAGGCCCGGGCCACAGCTGCGCTCACCGGGTCCCAGGACATCAGGACACAGGGTCCCCTCTGGACCTGAGTTCCGGCGCAGACTCTGTAAGAGGCTGAGATTCACCAGGAAGCTTGCTGCCTCTGTCGCCTCTGATCTCCCTAACCTCCCAGGCACCTGCTATCAGCAGCTGGGGGGCTGGGGACAGACAGCGGGGTGCGTTCTCTCACACCGCCCGGAAGGCCCAGGGGCTGGGACCCTTCTTGTCCTGCTGTGTCTCTGCCAGAGTCCTGTCTACAGAGCTTGTAGGACGAGACACGGGGGGAGGGGAGGGAGCCAGAGCTCAGAAAAGATCTGTGTCAAGTGGAGTGAAGACTGATGGTGGAGCGGTGGCCCCGAAAGATGTCTTAAGCCCCTGAGCCTGTGAACTATGTGACCTTATGTGGCAAAGGGGCCTTGCGGGTGCAGTCAGGTTAAGGACCCTGAGATGTGGCCACCGGCCTGGATTACCCGCGGCGGGGGGGGGGGGGGGGGGGGGGGGGGGGGGGGCGATGTCCTCACAAGGGTCGTCCTAGGCGGATGAGGAGGCAGGAGGGAGGCTCAGAGGAATGTCACCCTGCTGACTGCGGAGACGGTGGAGGGGCCACAGGCCATGGAAGGCAGGTGGCCTCTGGAAGGTGAATGGGCGAGAAACAGATGCTCCCCCAGAGTCTCAGGTAGGAACGGCCCTGCCCCCTGCCGACACCTTGGCATCAGCCCAGAGACGGGGCCAGACCCTCCAGAACTGGGAGACAGCGGGATTTGGGTTGTTCCAACCATCTTGGTAAGTTGTCACAGCAGCCACAGAAAACACGTACAGGTACATATGCAGACGCTACACTGGGTGATTTACACGCAAAATCCAGTTTTGGGGCTGCTACTGACACCAGCGCTACAC